GAGCCTCTGCTCACGGCCTCTGCTTCCCACACACCCCTCCAGCTCCCTGTTCACCGTCACCCTGTAAAAGCACCAGATTGGCTGCCACAGGCTCACGGGGCCAGGCTCAGAGAGAGCCCCGTGTGCCCACGTCCATGTGCCTGCCCTGGAGCTGGCCAGTATCCTGACATCCTGCGTGGGATAGGCATGTGCTGGGGACAGGCCCCCTGCGAGCACACGGGGTACCCAGATGAGCGTGGACATCCCAGGTGCACTGCACAGAACTCTCTGAGCAGGAAGGTGCCCTCACAGAGCCTTCAGGACATGCAGCCTCAGTGCCCAGAGCCGGGGGCCGCACTGGGCGTCCTGCATTTTAGTGGAGCCAGTGGGCCCCTGGGGGACATCTTGGACAGGACCTGATCCCAGGCACCCAAACCAGAGCCACAGCTTTGGAGCCAGTCTGGCCGTCCAGGGACAGCGATCAGTGGCCCCTGAGGGCAGCTCCAGGGTTGATTTGGGGACTGTCTGGGAGGCCTGGGAGCCCACAGGGACCCAGAGCTGAACCCTTCTTCACTGAAAGCGTCCTCTCATGACAGTGCCACCCCAGTGCTGAGTGACTTCTGCCTTTGAGACATTTATCATGGCAGATGGCACCGAGCCCAGGCAGGAGATGTGTGGGCCTGGTGCCTGGGGGCTCAGCCCCTGCTGCGGCTGGGGTCTTACTGCTGGTTAGAAGAAAGGGGTAGATCTGGACCTGAGTGAGGTATTCCAGGACTGAGCCAAGTACAGTTGAGCCTTGAAGGGGCTGGGCAGGGCAGGGGAGCCCACCGCCCAGAAGTGGCAAGAAGCAGCTGGACCCCCGCGGTGTAGAAGCTGGCGGCACCACTCCCGTGAGACACTTCAGACAAGGCTGCTCGCTACAGGAAAGACAGAGGTCTCTAGCCACTGCTGATGGCCACCACCTAGAAGGTGCTCTGTGAGAACCACTGCACCACTCCAGACCTGGCCCGACCAGGCCCACTGTCCCGCACTGCCCCGCTGGGCTCAGAAGGGCACTAAGGGGCAGAGCCAGCCTGGCCTGCTCAGGAGCCACTGCCCATGGGTGGGAGGCTCTGCCAGATGTGGCCATGGCCACAGTACACCCTTGCTTCTGCTATACTGGCACCCGCTGTGCCATGCACATGGGAACTCATCAGCTGTCCTCAGGATGGTGACGATCAGACACTGAACTGACCAGAGCTGAATGAGCCATCTCAGGGCTCAGTCGTACCTGAAGTCTACCCAACAGCACCTGAGCCAACACCTGCCCGGGCTCACCTCTGTTCCCACGTCAGGGGAGCATGTCATCACTCCCACAAAGGAGACAGGGAAACTGACCATTGCAGAATAGATAAATGGTCCAAGGTCCCAAAACCACAAGGCAGGACTTGAAGAAAGCCACTGGGCCAAGGTCACAGGTCCAGCCTCTCCAGGCCTGGCTGCGTCCCTCAAGGACCATCAGGGCTGGAAGGAGCCCTCTGAGCTGGCGCCTGCCTCTGGTTTCTGTATGCAGTGGGGCTTCCCAGGCCACTGGCCACACTGGTTACAGCACAGATATTCACACTGGTCCCACCTGGTCTCAGAAAGCTGCAGATCCCAGGGTCCTGCTCCTGGTGGCGCCAAGCAAGGTGTCCAGGTAGAGGGGCACAGCCACCTCTTCCACAGAAGGCTCTATTCCAAGGCCACCCCTCAGTCCACAGTGACACATGCCACTGAGGAGGATGCAGATCTGCATGGGAGCTGCCTCATCCTCCATGGGCCTCACACAGGTGCTGGGCCTCAGCAGCTCAGGTAGGTGGGGGACGTTCCCAAACACTGCCTGCCCCAGTGGGCAAGAGGCCAGCTGACCAAGGCTCCCCGCAGCCCTGGTCACATGTCTGTGGCCCAGCTCTCGGCTCCTTGCTCTCCTTGACCATGCATCTTCATGACACCCAAGCGCCACACAGAGACACTGCACTGCCCTCTGGGTCTGGGTCTGCAAACTCTTCCGGTGAAAGGCCGGACAGCACCGTCTGTACCACTCAGCTCGGCCTTTGCTGCTCAGCAGCAGCAGAGACACCCTGAAGCCCCTAAGCATGGCCATGCACTGATTAAGCTTTGTCCCCCAAATCGGCAGTCAGTTGACTGGGCTCTGAGTCTCTCCCGTGCTGACCCTGCATGTCCAGTGAGGTTGGCCTTCCCTGAGGCCCTGCAATCTCGCATCTGAGTGACCTTCCTTCTTGCTGTTCCGCGGGTGTATATGGCCAGCACCCTACGCTCCCGGCCCCCGTGCGACCTCACCTCTGGCCCCAGATACACCAGGGAAGGCCCTGGCCCCTGACCACCAGGGACCTCAGGCTCGAGACAGCCCCTGCCGTGCAGCACCAGGCTGCATCACTCCCAGGCCAGGAGCCCAGGGTCCCCGAGTACATTGTGACAGAAAACCTCACAAAGAAAACAGTCCCCGTGGAGATGAGGACTGGCACCAGCCCAGATGATGAGTTTGGTCCTCCAGTGGGTCAGCCACATAGCTCTGCACATCCTCGGCACCCAGCCCAGGGGCATGCTCTCTGCCCTCAGAGCAGCCTCAGTGTGGCCAGGTGGAGCAGAGGCCACATGTGCCCAGCTCTGGACAGGCCTCAAAAGGAAGGGCAGGGAGGCCTATGGCCCTTCGTGTCGCATCTGCCTCAACCTTCAACTTCTTCAGGACCCCAGTCCTTGGCTAGTCCTCTCCAGAGGAAGCCCACAAGGCAGGTGGTAATCACCTGGGCAATGGCTTCCCTGCACCGTGCCAACTCAGCTTTCTTCCTGATCTGCCAAGTGGGCATCAGGCACTGCCCTGTGGTTCTGTGAGCATCTCAGCAGGACTGCTGGTAGAGAAGTCTGGCCCTTGGCAGCCTCCCTGTGCCCTGGGCATCTGAGGATTCCCCCCTTCTGGGAGAGGGTTTGCTTGGCTTTGCCTGGCAAACCCACCACCTCTTGATTGACTTGCTCCCAACTGCAAGCCTTCTCCTTTGTACTTCGTAGTGTTCACACCCCAGCTCCTTCCGCCACCTCCTACCAACCCACTGACCCCTGGGGCCCTGGGGTGCCTGGCACATCTGCCTCTGAATTCCACAGGCTTCTCCTGCAATTTGAGATGTGCAGGCCATTTGGACAACCAGGCTGAATTCAGTCCTATGATTTCATAATCAATTTGAGGTGCAGGATTTTTAACATTCCCAGAGTATTTAAATATAATAGGTCACATCGCCAAACCATCTGGGTATGTTTTTTTTAATACAGCCAAAATGGAAATAGGAGCCTGTTCAAATAAAGGAGCAGAAGGGGGGCCTGCACAGGTGTTATGGTTTGAATCTGGACTGTTCCCCAAGTCTCGTGTTAAGTATATGGACCCCAGTGCAACCAGGGCCCAAGGGGGGTTCAGGCAGCAGTGGATCCTGAGGGCTCTGGCCTCACCATGGATTAATCCATCAAACGGACCACTGGGGGGGACTAGTGGAGGAAGTAGGTCACTAGGGGTGCACCTGAGAGGGTTTATCTTCTCCCTGGCCCCCCTCTTTCCATCATCCATCTGTCTTTCTCTCTCTGCTTCCAGCTGCCATGAGCCTACTCTTTCCCCCAGGCACCCTGTGCCATGACGTTCTGCAACAGAGTCGGCAACCATTGGCGGAACCTCTGACGCTGGGAGCCAAAACCATTCTCTCCTCCCTCAGTGCTCTTGTCAGATGAGTGGCCACAGGGGCAAAAAGCTGATGGGCACAGTGGGGTTTGGCAAGCAGGGAAGCCACCAACCCCCACGAGACAACAGATGGCACGACGCCAAGGACAAGCAAGATGGTGCTCAGTCCTGGGCACCGATGGGGTCTGCACCAGCCTGTGGCCCTCCCAGGGTGTCCCCCAGACCCTCAGACAGGGTGCCAGGAGGCAGGGCAGGGAAATGTGAGAGGTCCCCTTCCCAGCACAGCAGAGGTGCAGCTGGGCACTGTCACCTGCCCTTCTAGACGTGCTCCAGCCTAGAGCATGGAGGAGGGGCCGGACACCAGAGAGAGGCCCGGCCTCCACTCCAGCAGCCGAGGCCCTGCTCCTCTGAAGAGGGGAGCCAAGAAGCAGCCCAGAGAGGCGCTGCTTTCTGCTCTCTGGGCCTGAATGGAGCCCTGGTCTGGGGGTCAAAGCAGAGAAGCAGGGCTGCTGCCGTACCCACCCCTGCTGATGGCCTCGCTGAGGACCTGCAGGGTGGTGTCCAGGGAGCCCAGCAGGGCCCTGGAGGGCACTTCTCTGCCTGCTCTGGTGGGAGGAGTTCTGTGTGTCTGGGCAGGACAGCTGGAAAGAGCTGTAAGGGTTAGGGTTAGGGTTAGGTCTAAGGCCAGGTCAGGGCCCTCCAATGTCACTGACTCCCTGTTCAAACAATTAACCCCAGATTTGAGCAGTCGAAGAAGAGGGTGGGCAGCCTGCGCCAAGGTGGCCTCTTTCCAAGCAGGCCACAGTCCAGGGTTGGGTGAGTCCGTGTCGTGTCAGCAGATGGAGTGAAGGAGTCTTATGGGAGGAGGTGGCTTCACGTCTGGAACTCCGGGGGATGACACCTTTTCCACAGGAGCTAGCAAGTGGCTCAAAGAGTGCTAGTGTGGGGGACAGGCTGCTCCTGGAGAGGGACCCTGGTCACCAACGTGGTCTCAGGTGGAACCCCGATGCTGAGCACAGACAACTGCACCGAGAGACCCAGGTTTCTCCCCAACTCATGCTGGGGCAAGGTCGCCCAGTTACCACCAACTACCTTCCAACCTCAGCGGAGAACGGACACTTCGTTTTGTCTGCAAGGGGATATGAAGACGGCTGCACCTGGCAGAGGAAGCCGGGAATGTTTGCGAGGCCAGGTAAGCAGGGCAGAGTCTCAGCCTCCTGGGTGGACTGGATGGGCTCTGAGTCCTGTGGTGGCTGACAGAGAACCGAGCAGTGGCCTCAGTCAGCTCCCCGCCACTGTGACAAAATGGCTTAGAAAATAGTTTTAAAGGAACAAAGATTTATTTTGGCTCAAAGTTTCAGAAGATTCAGTCCACGATTTCTCAGTCCCGTGACTCGGGACCTCGGGTAATGCAGAACATCATGGTGGGGCTCCTGGAAGGGCAGAGCTGTGCCCCTCAAGGCTGGGGTGCAGAGTGGGACAAGCAGGGGTCCCAGGACAAAATGACAAGATGTTCCCTTCAAGGGCATGGACCCCTGACCTCCTCCTTCCAACTAAGACACACCCAATAGACCATGGACCTACAAATCCCAAGGAGCCCTCCATCCATTTGTGAGGGCAGAGCCTTCATGTCCAGTCACCTGGCAAAGGCCCACATCTAAACACTGCTGCATTGGGGTCCATATTTTAACACAGGAGCTGTGGAGGGACATTTAAGATCCAAACCATATTTCACTCCGGCTGCCAAAGGCAATGTCCGTTACCAGGCGAACTGTGTTCATCCACTCCCAGCCCTCCCGTCGCCAACAGTCATAGGACCGCTCCGACACTCAAGTCCAAAGTCTCTGCTGAGGCTCAAGGTGAACCCTTAGCTGTGAGCCCCTGTAAAACAAAACCAAAAAACAAGTTACAGACTCCTAAGATACGATGACACAGGCAAAAATTCCCACTCCAAAGGGAAGGAAGAGGAGTACAGCCAAGAGGAACGGTCCAAGGCCAGACCAGAACCCAGGAGGGCCAACACCGAACCCTGTGTCTGAGCTCAGTATCTGGAAGACACAGCAACACAGTGTGGGCTCCAAAGGGCTCGGGCCGCCCTACCACACGACCCTGCAAGGCCACAGTGTGGACTGGCTCTGCTCACTGCCTGCAGCGCTTCCTGGCTGATGTTCACCTCCTGGCATCTCTGACTTCACCTCCAACCCATAATAAACAGATCAATGTACATATGAGGCCATGGGGCTCATGACCCAATCACCTCCCAAAGGCTCCACATCTGAGCTGCTACATTGGGAACCGAGTCCTCAACACAAGACCTACTGAAAACGTTCAAGATCCACACCATCAAAGCTTGCAGACACGGCTTAGTCATGGGAATCAGCACGGGCTCCAGGTCAAATGACTCTAAATACCTACCTTATTCCAGCTTGGTCCTCACACTGAGCTCAGAGCTGGTGTTCATTCAATAGTCCTTATTGAGCACCTGCTGAGTGCATGTCCTCATGCTAAGCACCAGAGGGACACAAACCAATGAGATACAAAGAATCTCTGCCCCGTGACAAATGGGAGCAAAGGTTTCAGCCTCAGAGCAAATGGACCCCATGGGCAGCTATGGGACAATGTGTGACACAGTAGCATTCCGTCAACACCCATTCCTTTTCCTTCCCTTTCTTCTTCCCCACAGACTCTGGAGATCCCCTTCCTCAAATGCTGAGTCAGGGTGTCAGGAAGCCCTTGTGGGCTTGAGCAGGAAATGGTGGTCCTGGCTGGGAGAGAGCTCCCTGTTGGCTCTCCTGCACGCCTCCTACTCTCCCCCTCAGGTTCCAGTTGGTTTCTGGGGGCATTCGGGACTTCCAAAGCTGTCTTCTACTTTTGGTCTTCTCCATTCTCAGTGGTGCCTCCTGAGCAATTTCCTCAGGGAAACCTTCCAGTCCACTAATGCTACCTTCGGCTTCACCCAGTCTGCTGTGTAGCCAACACATGTGGGTTCCCTGTGCTCTTGGGTGTGATGTCTGTGTGTTCAACCCAATCTTGGCAGACCATTTGTCCTTTCCTTACACAGGAGTCAGACTAAAGTCAAATTCAAGATGAGCAAAACACCCATCTGACTGGGTGCTCTAGAAAAATCCCCTGGTGAGTGTTTAAAGGTGGGCCGCAGATATTTGGGGAAGCAGAGACTGTATTGATGCGTTCAATGGGGACTAGATGCCTAAGTAAGTTTAATCAGCCTGTCTGAATGTCTGTGTCTGTTGCAACCATGCCTTAAACAGGTACCTAGAAGGTGGGTAACGCAACATGTGTGTGAGTCTGACCCAGGTACACTGCGTGGGCAAGTGAGGACTGGAAACTAGGATGTTAGAAGAGGATCTCAGCAGAAAGTCTCAACCCCCCTGAGCCTGTTTCCTCATCTGCAAAACGGAAATGAGGACAGCTAACTCCCCAGTGCCTTGATCTGAACCGTGAGCCTTCCCCCTGCTCCTGCCCCAGCACTGAAGTAACACACTTGAGCCTGAGCCACTTAGCGAGACCCTGACTCAAAGCAAAATAACAAGGGCCTGGGATGTAGCTCAGTGGTAGAGCACTCACCGGGCACCCTCAGGGACCAGGCTCCGTCCCTAGGACCACAGAAGAGGAAAAAGGAAAGGGCTGAGGGCCTGCGGCTGACCTTCCACCACGTGAGAACGCAGCCCTCTCCACACACTGAACCTCCTTGGCCTTGCATCTTGCAGATGGGCAAGTCGATGCCTGTCAATCAACTGCCCACCCCAGGAACTCATGGCAGCCCTGGAGGGGCGGGGGCCTCTGAGAAGGCCTCCAGGTCTCCCTCTGTGGGAAGAACGTCCATGCTGGCCACAGGACTCGTGCCTGGCAGGCTTTGTCCTCGGCTGGGAATAGATTAGTGCACTGCCTTCTGGGATCCGCGTTTTCTGACAAGAAATCTGGGGAGACTTGGGGGGAAGTGACGACAGCTGCCTCCTCTCAGCCCCACAGGTGTTCACAACCTGCTTGTGTCACTCGGCCCTCTGTGAGCAAAGTACAGCCACAAGGACCCAGAGGAGGGCGGGTCTGTTCTGGCCCCCGCGGCAGAGGCTCAGTCTGTGGTCAGCGGCTCACTGCTCTGGGCCCAAAGGGAAGCAGAACATGGTGGCAGAGGGAGGGCAGGTGGAGCGCACTGCCATGTGCGGGTGCCCAGGAACAGAGGAGAAAGGGCAGGCCCGGGAGGGTGCACCCTTCCAGGGCAGGAGCCTCGTGACCCGCCCCTCCAGCCACCCACTGCCCCAGTGCCAGTCCGTCCACACCCAGGAGGGGCCCATCCCCTGCAGCTCTCGTAATCAGGTCTCTTCACCTCTGAACACGCCCGCCTGACCGGGAGCCCTGGGGACACCTCAGACCCAAACCAGAGGAGGTTCTGCAGTGTCTAGGGAGCACAGCATCATGTGAGCACAGGACTGCCATCCTTCCCACCCCACTCTCCCAAGGTGACAGAGAAAGGAACTGGATCCCTTGAGTGTAGACAGGACCAGGGCTTTAGAGGTCAAGGAGTCATTGGAACTTTCAGAGTTGGAATGAAAAGGCCGTTGAAGGATCCTGCAAATCTGAATCTCTTAACAGTGAGTTATCAGTCTCCATGACCCACTGAAGTGAAATCTTCTGGCCTCCTTTCTTATTAACGGGGAAGAGGTCCTGGAGGCCAGAAAGTGAGGCCACTCCTACAGGTGGCGCCCAGGCGCGGTGGGGCCATCTGTCCTCTGGCCTGAGGAGGAGCCATCTGGAGGGAATCTCAAACACCTGCCCCGTGAGGCCTGGCTGCGGCTGGTGCCTCTCCATCAGGTGCGGGGGCTCGTGGTGGTGGCGCAGAGCCAGCTCCTGGGGGGCTCTGGTGGTGCTGGTTTGGGTCTTTGGACGCTGGTAGTCTTGATTTGGGGCTTGTCTTTACGCCATAACCTCAGTTGGTGCAGCTGCTGCTCAGAGCTGGCGGCAGAGCCAGGTGATGACAGGGGCGGGGTCCAGCTCTTCCCAGGAGGAGGCCCTCTGTGCCATTATCAGGTCCTGGGGGACATCCGGCAGGGCAGCTCTGGGGAGGTGAAACTGGCCCACCATCTCCTCTCAGGGGCAGAGGTGGACATGCGAGTCCCGCCCGGGTGGAGCAGAACTTCCCCAGTTTCCTCAGACAGTCTGTGCAGAGTCCGGGCCTCCCCCTCGCCCTGCAGAGCCTGCCACTTTCCCTCGCTTCCCAAAGACCAGTGCCCAGAGCCTGCCGCTGGCACCTTCCCCTTCCTGCCCACTGAGCACCAGCGGCCTGAGGAGGCCAAGCAGTCAGGGCAAAGGGCAGCACAAGGGCGGACTGTCTGCCCCTCCTCCCTGCAGTCTGCATGTGGGGACCCCTGCAGCACAGCCCCCACGAAGTCCCCGTGCCCACCCACCCAGCTCTGGGATGAGCAGTCGCAGCGGGAGGCGGAGCAGCAGGTCCTCCCAGGTACATGCTCAGAACACTCCCTCTGTCGGGTCCCCCCAGCTGGGCCCGGAGCCTGCACCCCTCAGGACACAGGGCAGGAGGCAGGGCCTACCAGCTGCACACAGCGACTCTCCCTGCAGCCCTGTTGCTGCAGGCCAGCCAGAAACATGGCCCTCGGCCAGAGGCTGAAAGGCCCTGGACTTGGAGACAAAGCAGCTCTAAGGCAAGTGGACAGCTAAGAGGACTGAGCCCCTGGACCCGCCTCACAGCAGGACATCAAGGGCATAGACTCAGCAGCTGCCTGGGCCCAGGGGCCTCTTCCCCCCGAGAGAGACATCAGGCTGCACTCTCCTGGCCACCCGTGCCCTGTTCTTCCCTGTCCTTCCTGCCACACTCCAGAACAGCAGAGGTGGTGCCGATAAGTCACGAATCTTAGAACAAAACTGATCCTCCAAAGAGTTAAACAAACAAACAAAAATTGGAGGAAGCCTCAGGTGAAGGCAGGTGCCCTGCAGCCGCCCTAAGGCCTGAGCCTGTCCTGCTCAGTACAGACAGACCTCGCTCACCCCGAGCACTGCAGACAGGGACTCGCTGGCCTCGGGCCAGCACTGACACAGAGTCTGCAGACGCACTCGCCTCAAGCCAGTGAAGCCTCGACTTACTTTGAGCTGATGGCTTTGGCCAGAAGGACTTCTCCTCTGTCTTCAGGTCCCTCCCTTCCTGATGCGTGTGCAGAGTGGGTGGCTGCTGTTGAAGTCACATCTGGCAAGGTGTTGGAGACCCCAGAGTGTCCTCTGGCATCATCTCCCAAATCCCATGTGTAGGGAAGGGAGAAGGCAGGTAGGGTAGTGGGAAAGGCAGGGTGGGCCTGCCTGCAGCAGTGGCTGGGTATTTCAGCACCTGCCAGGAGGCTTCCCCACCCAAAATAATCTCACAGCAGCTGCTATCGGCAGCAGGGGAGCACACGGGACTTGGCGCTAGTTACACAGAAGCCACGTGCACCAACGTGCTGCTGCGTTTAGCTTTGGGCTCTACTGCAGTATGCAGAGTGAAGAGTACCCAGAGTGTCCTCAGCGTGCTGAGGACAGGAGGGCTCAGGGTCCCTCCAGCCCTGGCACCTCCACAGGGCAGGGATCCCAGAGCTGCCCCGGCGACTCCTCCCTCCCCTCCCTTTGTAGCCAGATGATTATATGGTTGTGATGGAATCTTACACCCCAGGAATGACAGGTCACTCTCAGGCCCCGCAAAGCCAGTGCTAACTGAACCCCAATAGCTATGGCCTTGGGTGTTTAACTCAGAACCCCACCTACTGCGCCATGTTCCCATGGGCAGCCCTAGCGCAGTGGGCAGTCGCCAGTGCGTGTGAGCCAGGAGGCTACATCCTTGGAAAAGATGCCAGGAGGGTGTGCATAGGGAGCTGCCCCCA